CCAGACCTTCGCAGGCGCGCACAATCGTTCCCAGCTGGCCAGAGCTGCGCAGTTGCTTGCATCTCATCCGTCGAATAAAATCATCCAACTAGCGGGCGCAAGCCATTTGCGAGATTGTCCCAAGAGCTGGTTGTCATCAGCCGGGAATTTCTGATGTGAGTGCAGTCAGAGGGGATGCTCTTGGATACCAGCCGAGCACGCGAGTCGGACAATCTGCCAGAGGGAAGACGTTCCGCACTCTGGCTTGCAGACGGCGCGCTGCACTTGGTGCTGAGGCGTCGCAATCACAGGCCGGCAGGGTCCCGCCTCGCGCGGCGGGGCTCGTGCTCTTCAACGGGGTGGCGCCTGTGCCCAGTGCGCCGCATCAGCGCAACAGCAGCTCTTCACGCAAGCTCTCAAGAGGTGGTTTCTAACGCTGGCGTTGGTGCCAAACGCATCTCCGTTCACTTCGAAATCGTTCCGGGCAGGGAGAGACACGGAGATGGCTGCCCAAGGAGAGCCTTTTGGAGTTATCCTGGCCGCTGGTGAAGGGAGATCGGCGCAGTTTCCCCGGTATGTTGACCTCGACGCAGTCGAGCAAGAAGTTCTCTTCGATAGAGCCGTGGATTCACTTGGCACGAACGAGAGAACGACACAGTTTTCCATGCTTCTGTCTCTCAGGAGGGGGGGTCGACCCTCTGAGCGTTGCTGAGCGAAATCACCCAGCGGAGCGTTCGTTGATCCTGGAAAAGAAGAAGCGAATTCTCGTTGCGGATAAGAGTGAGGGCTTTCTCCCTCCCCCCAAGAACAGCGCAAGACAGTTTAGGAGGACCAAGAGCCCTGCTGCAGGGGTGGGGCCCGCGCGGGAGGGAGCTGGTGAGGTTGGGTGCTTCGGGCCAGGTTCTTGAAGCCTCTAGGGTGCTTTTGGTGAGCCGTTTGGTGACCTCTTAGAGGCATCTTGGGGCCTCCTAGGCGCCTCTTGGGGCACTCTTAAAGCTTCGGGGGCCTTCTTGGAGCCACCTTCGAGGAGACCGATCAAAGAAGGGGGGGCGGCTCAAGTAAGGTCCCCCCCCAAGATGCCAACATGGGCCCCGAACGTGAATAACAACAACAATTTTGGTCATTTCGCAAATGCCCTTTTTGACGCTGTAATCGGTCGCGAACTTCCCCCGTGCCGGTCCAAGGGGGGGGCTTCGGGGGAAGGGCAGCTCCCTCCCCAGAGCGAGAACACGGGGGGGTGCACGAGGAAACGCTCTGAACCACTCGCATCCTGAAGGGCGTGCGTATCCCTTGCGGTATCTCGATCTGGGAAGACAGCTAGGGTGGACTTGCGTCCATTTGAACCAGGATGCATCGTGGTCTGGGGGCGCAGTCTGCCAGACCTTCGCAGGCGCGCACAATCGTTCCCAGCTGGCCAGAGCTGCGCAGTTGCTTGCATCTCATCCGTCGAATAAAATCATCCAACTAGCGGGCGCAAGCCATTTGCGAGATTGTCCCAAGAGCTGGTTGTCATCAGCCGGGAATTTCTGATGTGAGTGCAGTCAGAGGGGATGCTCTTGGATACCAGCCGAGCACGCGAGTCGGACAATCTGCCAGAGGGAAGACGTTCCGCACTCTGGCTTGCAGACGGCGCGCTGCACTTGGTGCTGAGGCGTCGCAATCACAGGCCGGCAGGGTCCCGCCTCGCGCGGCGGGGCTCTTGCTCTTCAACGGGGTGGCGCCTGTGCCCAGTGCGCCGCATCAGCGCAACAGCAGCTCTTCACGCAAGCTCTCAAGAGGTGGTTTCTAACGCTGGCGTTGGTGCCAAACGCATCTCCGTTCACTTCGGAATCGTTCCGGGCAGGGAGAGACACGGAGATGGCTGCCCAAGGGGAGCCCTTTGGAGCTATCCTGGCCGCTGGTGAAGGGAGATCGGCGCAGTTTCCCCTGTATGTTGACCTCGACGCAGTCGAGCAAGAAGTTCTCTTCGATAGAGCCGTGGATTCACTTGGCACGAACGAGAGAGCGACACAGTTTTCCATGCTTCTGTCTCTCAGGAGGGGGGATCGACCCTCTGAGCGTTGCTGAGCGAAATCACCCAGCGGAGCGTTCGTTGATTCTGGAAAAGAAGAAGCGAATTCTCGTTGCGGATAAAGAGCGAGGGCTTCTCCCCCCCCCCAAGAACAGCGCAAGACAGTTTAGGGGGACCAAGAGCCCTGCTGCAGGGGTGGGGCCCGCGCGGGAGGGAGCTGGTGAGGTTGGGTGCTTCGGGCCAGGTTCTTGAAGCCTCTAGGGTGCTTTTGGTGAGCCGTTTGGTGACCTCTTAGAGGCATCTTGGGGCCTCCTAGGCGCCTCTTGGGGCACTCTTAAAGCTTCGGGGGCCTTCTTGGAGCCACCTTCGAGGAGACCGATCAAAGAAGGGGGGGCGGCTCAAGTAAGGTCCCCCCCCAAGATGCCAACATGGGCCCCGAACGTGAATGACAACAACAATTTTGGTCATTTCGCAAATGCCCTTTTGGACGCTGTAATCGGTCGCGAACTTCCCCCGTGCCGGTCCAAGGGGGGGGCTTCGGGGGAAGGGTAGCTCCCTCCCCAGAGCGAGAACACGGGGGGGTGCACGAGGAAACGCTCTGAACCACTCGCATCCTGAAGGGCGTGCGTATCCCTTGCGGTATCTCGATCTGGGAAGACAGCTAGGGTGGACTTGCGTCCATTTGAACCAGGATGCATCGTGGTCTGGGGGCGCAGTCTGCCAGACCTTCGCAGGCGCGCACAATCGTTCCCAGCTGGCCAGAGCTGCGCAGTTGCTTGCATCTCATCCGTCGAATAAAATCATCCAACTAGCGGGCGCAAGCCATTTGCGAGATTGTCCCAAGAGCTGGTTGTCATCAGCCGGGAATTTCTGATGTGAGTGCAGTCAGAGGGGATGCTCTTGGATACCAGCCGAGCACGCGAGTCGGACAATCTGCCAGAGGGAAGACGTTCCGCACTCTGGCTTGCAGACGGCGCGCTGCACTTGGTGCTGAGGCGTCGCAATCACAGGCCGGCAGGGTCCCGCCTCGCGCGGCGGGGCTCGTGCTCTTCAACGGGGTGGCGCCTGTGCCCAGTGCGCCGCATCAGCGCAACAGCAGCTCTTCACGCAAGCTCTCAAGAGGTGGTTTCTAACGCTGGCGTTGGTGCCAAACGCATCTCCGTTCACTTCGAAATCGTTCCGGGCAGGGAGAGACACGGAGATGGCTGCCCAAGGAGAGCCCTTTGGAGCTATCCTGGCCGCTGGTGAAGGGAGATCGGCGCAGTTTCCCCTGTATGTTGACCTCGACGCAGTCGAGCAAGAAGTTCTCTTCGATAGAGCCGTGGATTCACTTGGCACGAACGAGAGAACGACACAGTTTTCCATGCTTCTGTCTCTCAGGAGGGGGGATCGACCCTCTGAGCGTTGCTGAGCGAAATCACCCAGCGGAGCGTTCGTTGATCCTGGAAAAGAAGAAGCGAATTCTCGTTGCGGATAAGAGTGAGGGCTTTCTCCCTCCCCCCAAGAACAGCGCAAGACAGTTTAGGAGGACCAAGAGCCCTGCTGCAGGGGTGGGGCCCGCGCGGGAGGGAGCTGGTGAGGTTGGGTGCTTCGGGCCAGGTTCTTGAAGCCTCTAGGGTGCTTTTGGTGAGCCGTTTGGTGACCTCTTAGAGGCATCTTGGGGCCTCCTAGGCGCCTCTTGGGGCACTCTTAAAGCTTCGGGAGCCTTCTTGGAGCCACCTTCGAGGAAACCGATCAAAGAAGGGGGGACGGCTCAAGTAAGGTCCCCCCCCAAGATGCCAACATGGGCCCCGAACGTGAATAACAACAACAATTTTGGTCATTTCGCAAATGCCCTTTTGGACGCTGTAATCGGTCGCGAACTTCCCCCGTGTCGGTCCAAGGGGGGGGCTTCGGGGGAAGGGCAGCTCCCTCCCCAGAGCGAGAACACGGGGGGGTGCACGAGGAAACGCTCTGAACCACTCGCATCCTGAAGGGCTGGTGGGATTCGAGGCCAAAATGATTGACCACAGTTGGGTGTTCTTTGCCCTCCGAGCAGTTTGAACGGACCCACCCTGGACCCAAGTGTCGCTTACAGAAGTCCGAGGGGTGGCACGATTGGGGGCCTCAAGAGGAAGGCTGAGCTAGGTGTTGAAGGTGTTTGATGATTTGGAAATCTTTTGGCACCAGGCCCAATGAATATCGGCCCTGGCCCCGGCAAGATGTGGCAAGGGGGTTTTAGATCTCAGTAGAGATCGTGCGTTTGCCAACACACGTGCGACTAAGAAGGAGGCGGAGTCGATCATGTATCTTTACAAAACGTGCGGTGCTTGCATGCGGCGCCGCTGTTTTTTGCTTTACAGGGGCTGCGGGTGCCCCGACGACCCCTCGTCGCACATTCGCTCGTCTGCGCCCCCCAGTGCGTGAGGAGTGTGCTCCTCTGTCCCGATCCTCGCGCAGAGGTGCAGTCTACGTGCAGTATGCCACCATGTTGCCGTCGTCGTCATCGGGGGCAGTGGTGGGGGGGACAGTCTTGGGGGAGGACGCATCGCCCCCCAATCGCCCATTCATCGCCAAGAGGGACCCGATAGCCCACCCCGCCCAGGAACGTTCTGATTTGCTATCGGGGGCCTGTCGCCGATCTGTCGGCGATGCATCGCCGATTCCAGCTCGATGTTTCACCCCTTTGAGCCATCTCCTTTATAATTGCCCTTCATTCCAGAGGTCAGACAGCCCCCACGCGGGCTGGGGGCCCTCCCGCAGACGCAGGGAATGTGGGGGCTCCTGGCGCGCATCCAGGTTCGGGAGGCGTCCCGAGCGCTGCGTCCTCGGCCTCTTCCATCAGCTCAGTTGTCAGCGGTCGGCTTCGCCCTCCTGGGATCGCCGACGAAATCCTCATTCCTCGTCGCCCCCTCTCCTCCTTGCCTTTTCCCTTTTCTCCTTCTGCGTCCTCCGTTCTCCTGCTCCTGCTCCTGCTGCCTCGTTCGACTCCCCTTCCCGTGGAATGCGCACTGGGAGGGCGCTTCTGCAGGCCGTCGTGGGCAGAAACCTGACGCCGTTCATCACCGCCGTGCTGGAGCTGACGTTTATGCAGACGCCTCTGTCCAGCAGGACGCTGTTATCCTTAGTTGTGGGACTCCTCGGTGCTGGCGTTTATCTGGCGGGTGAACGGCTCCCGTTCAAGCAGAAATGCATGCGACATGCACGATGATTTTGCATTGTCCCGAGGAGCAGTGAACAGGGGTACGATAGCTATTGTATATCATTGATACCGGCGCGTAGAGAAGGATGGGGTAGTATCTCCGGTTTCAGGACTTCAAGGAAGTTGTCGAAGTGGACCATCTCGTTCTCATTTGCTCGGACAAACGATCTGCGCATGACGGTTGATCTCATGGACGGAAGCATCTCCGTATCCACGGCCTCGCAGGCCGGGCCCCGGGGCCGCGACCCCGCGGACGCTGGGCGTTTTTCCACGTATGCCCCGCGCGGAACGTATCTGTGCGGCCGAGTATCCGCAGGATCGCGCCCCAGAATCCAGACCGCGAGGGCGCGGATGCAGATATGTTCGCCGCTCGTGATTATCGGACATTCGCTCTTAGAGGCCAGAGTGCGATGCGTGCTGCATCGCGGTGACGATGGATGGGTTTCTGATCTGAGGTGAGTCTACCCCCGCAGAACGGCCAATCTACCTGACAGGTCCCACCAGTCCCGGCGCGGACGGGCCCGTGATATACCCCGGTTGGCTCATCCCTTTGGGAGGTCCGAGTGCGATGCTTGCTACATCTTGGCCATCACGAGCTTGAATGAGGCTATGTACGAGTGAGTCTGAGCATGGGAGAATCTTAACGTGAGTAAGTCTGAATGCAATTGAGTCGGAGTATGACTGAGCCCGAGTCGGAGGGAATCCGACTGAAGTAGTCTGAGTTTCGTGTCCTGACCTTAGTGAGTCTGAGTGGGATCGAGTCTGTTTGGGAGTCAATCTGAGTATGAATGATTATGAGCTTGTTGAGTGCGAGTGAGCCTGAGTATGCATTAGTTGGCGTGTGAGTGCGTCCAAATATGCGTGATCCGAGTTTGTGCTTGTCTGTGTATTAGTGAGTCTGTGTGTGTGTGTGAGTGAGTCTTGGTATGAGTGAACCTGAGAGAGGGAGGAGGCGTGTGAGTGAGGCCGGTGATGGGGTGAATACATGATTATGCAGGGAGTTCAAATCAACTAGGACGGCATGCCTGGCCTCAGCTTCGCTGACCTATTCTAGAACCATATGTTTTAAATTCCTTGTCTTATTCCATGTCCTGCCGTCATCGCGCGAGTTGTATTCGAACATCTAATTTTCATAAATGATCACGGCCATCTTCCCCAAGATATTCCTCCAGCTCTTCCTTCAGATCTTCCTCCAGACCTTCACCCAGATTTTCCACAGATATTCCCCCAGATCTCCACCCAGATCCTCGCCCAGACCTCCTTCCAGATCTTCCTCCAGATCTTTCCCGAGTTCTTCCTCCAGATCTTCCCCTAGATCTTCACCCAGATCTTCCCCCAGATCTTCCCCCAGATCTTCACCCAGATCCTCACCCAGATCCTCACCCAGATCTTGCCCCAGATCGTCCCCCCCAGATCTTCCCCCAAGTATTCCATCATATCTTCTCCCAGATTGTCTCCCGATTCTTCGCCGATATCTTCACCCAAATCCTCACCCAGATCTTGCCCCAGACCTTCCCCCAGGTTTACCTTCAGATCTTCCTCCAGATATTCACCCAAAACTTCCCCCAGATCTTCCCACAGATCTTCATCCGGATCATCTTCCGCCAGTTTTTTCCCCAGATCTTCTCCCAGATTTTACCCCAGATCTTCCTCCAGATCTTCCCCCAGTTTTCTCCCACAGATATTCCCGCAGATCTTCGCCCAGATCTCCCCCCAGATCTGCACCCAGATCATGACTCAGGTCCCCCCCCAGGTCTTCCCCCAGATCTTCCCACAGATCTTCCCCCAGACCTTCACCCACGTTTGCCCCCAGGTCTTCCCCCAGAACTTCCCGAAGATCTGCCCTGGATCTTTTCCCGGACCTCCCCCCAGATCTTCTCCCAGATCTTTCCCCAGATCTCCATAGCATCCCACGGCAACCCACAGCACCCCACGGGACCCCACAGCACCCCACAGGCCCGTCCTCGGAAGTGGGTCTCCCATGGAGAATCGGTCTGGATTCTTTACGGGAGACCTTGTGGGTGCTGTCGCCCGTCGTCATCGTCGGCGTCGTCGTCGTCGGCGTCGTGTTCCGTCGTTCGCGCCGTCCTGGTCGTAGACCTCGTCGTCGTCCTGACTATTGTCGTCGTCGTCGTCGCTAAACATTGTTTATTTGTTTGTTTCCTCTTGGTTTCGTTTTCTTTTTGTTTTTCGTTATAAGCGCGTTCGGGAACACGTTTTGCGCGTACTCTACACGGTGGTCGCTTGCCTGCCCGTTTGAGGAATTAGGCCTTTGTTTTCTTAAGCGCTTCGTTCTCGCGCGGGCACGAGCTGTGCGTTTCGTTCGCGTTTTGTTTTGTGCGCGAGCAAGGTGTCCATGTTCTGTTTTTGCGCCCGCTGTCTGTTCGCGGCGTCTTCACACTTCGCGCGGCGCGCCCATTCTTTTTCGTCCTCACTTGCGTTCTTCAATGCAGATATTGCCTTGGATCTTCCACATCTTCCAGCTTACATTTATCCAATTTGCCTTATGTCCGCCCAGATTTCCTGCGAGGTCGCGGGACGTTCCTTCATATTTTACCCCTGATCTCCTTCCAGATTTCTCCCCACATTTTCTCCCTGAGCTTCCTCCATATCTTCTTCTGGATCTTCCCCCAGATCTTTCTCTGATCTTCTTCCGCATTCGCCTTGAGAATCTGCCCCCAGATCTTCTCGCAGATTTTCCCCCCGATATTCCTCCAGGTCGTACCCCGGATCTTCCCCAAAATTTTCCTCCAGATCTCTCCCCAGATCTTCACCCAGATTTTCCCCCATATCTTCACCCAGATCTTCCTTTAGATTTTCCCCCAGATTTTCCAGGTCCCCCAGATCTTCACCCAGATCTTCCCCCAGATTTTCCTCCAGATCTTCACCCAGATCTTTCTGAAGATATCCCCCCAGGTCTTCTCCAGATTTTTCCTCATGCGTTTTTGTTTCAGAACGGCCTGCGAGACGCCGGCCGGCGCTTTCGCTCATACTTTGTTTTTGACAGAAAAGAGCGTATCCAAAGACCTCCCAACATATCTTCTTCCATATTTTCCTTCAGATGTTCCTCAGATATTCCGCCACATCTTCCTCCAGATCTATTGGCATACCACCCCGCCTAATCTTCCTCTGGACATTCCCCGCACGCCTGCCCAGATTTTCCCCCATATCTTCCACGAGAGATCTTTCCCCACCAGATGTCCCTCCAGCTCTTCCTCCAGATCTTCCCCAGATCTTCCCCCATATCTTCTCGGGATTTATGACCGAATGACCCGCTAAATCTCTGCTGGACATTCCCCAGATCTCCCCCCAGCTTTCCCTTCATATCTTACACCCGATCTTTCCCCATGCGTTTTTTGTTTCAGAACGACCCGCAAGACGCTGGCCGGCGCTTTCGCTCATAATTCTGTTTTGGCAGAAAATAAAGCGTGACAAGAAACGACTTGTTAGTGGTATTCTCTGTTTTTTTCATGTCGCGTCGTGCTTCTGGTTCTCGTTTTTCAATTCGTAGTCTTGTTCTCTTCCCTGCTTCGGAGGTGCGATCTTTACACGACATTCTAGTTTTTTCCCTACCTAGGCTCTGCCTAGAAGGGTTCTTACTTTATTAGCTTAAAGGGCCGGGCAATGGGGCTCGCCCCGGGCGGTTCCCCCGGCATCCGCCCCGCGGCTCCCCCAGGACCCCCCCGCGCCCCCTGGGTGAGCTTAGCTTAGCTTAACTTCGCTTAGCTTAGCTAAGCTTAACTTAGCTTAGCTTAGCTAGCTTAGCCTAGCTTAGCTTTACTTATCTCATACTAGCTTAGCTTAACTTGGCTTAGCTTAGCTTAACTTAGCTTAGCCTAGCCTAACTTAGCTTAGCTTAACTTAGCTTAGCTTAGCTTAGCTTTACTTATCTCATCGTAGCTTAGCTTAGCTTAGCTTAGCTTACCTTAGCTTAGCTTAGCCTAGCTTAACTTAGCTCAGCTTAGCTTAGCTTAGCTTGTATTAGCTCAGAATATATCATATTAGCTTAGCTTAGCTTAGCTTAGCCTATCCTAGCGTAGCTTAGCTTAGCTTAGCTTAGCTTAGCTTAGCTTAGCTTAGCTCATGCTGCTTTCCTAGGGGCTCCAACTCCTAGGTCGGGTCGCACTGGGATAAATTCATTATTTTCTGTCTACATACACACAGATCTATAGATATAAAATTCCTTGTGCTATCAAGAACCTCATACTCAGGATATGGGGAGCATCGGCTACCATTCGTTACTTCCTCGTAGCCCCAGGGACGCCCTGGCCAGAGACGTGTCTCGCACTAGAGCATGGCGGTCTCGTCCGAGACTTCTGCAGCTTGTTGCGGTTGGTAAACAAACGGCTCCCGCTCGATTATCAAGAGAGGCTTACGCCATTCCGCCGATCCCCAGAGGAGGCGGGGAGTCCACGGTTGAGGCGTCATGGGCTTCCTGGGCACTATTGAGAGACTCTTGTGGGCGTCTTGGGAGCTGTTTGGGGGGCTGGTGGAGCCTCTCCCCGCCTTTCATTTAGACATCGCTTCTTCGCCGGGGACGTTTCCAGCAGTTTGCACCGGAAAAGTGCGCGCTCGCCGCCCAGGGCGCGGATGTTGCGGGGGCGCTGCCATCCGTGAGACTGTCGCCCTGAACCCCTGGACCGTACTTCTGCGGCGGACCCCCTCCCTCGTGCGTCGTCTTTTCCTTTCTTCCTTCCTCCCTCGTGCGTCGTCTTTCCCTTTCTTCCCCTCATCCCTCCCCCCTCCTCCCTCCGACAGCTGTGTGTGTGTATGTCACAGATTGGAGGTGAAACCTGTCACGCACGCGGCGGCTTCTCTATGACCGCCCACGACACCACGGCGCGAGGGCCCCAGCCCCTCCGCGCCGACCCTCGGGGGTCTCGCTCCGGCGGGCTTGCGCGCTCCGCTCCGCGCTCCGCTCTCCGCGCCTTGGGCTTCCCACGTTGGGTTCGAGTTCTGCGATCTCGTGCCTTCACCTCCTTCTCTGGGGTTCGCCATGCAGCTGGCATGACGAGCAGGTCCCCCTTCAAACGGGGTGCGTTCGTAGACCGAGAGGTCGGGTACGAGGGAGAGGGGTGCACGAAGGAGTGTCACGCGAGCAGGTAGGAGCGAACGGTCTTCAAGCTGTTGTCGTAGGCGTCGTCGTCGGTACGAGCATCAGTTCTCGGACATCTTAGGCCCCGACTGGCATTCGTTTTAACCCGTCGCGTGACGGGACGACAATTTTGGTGGGAAATTGATTGCGTGGGCACACTTTTCAGAAAAGTATTCGGTGCATTTTGTTCGTGCTGTTTTGCAGAGTGTGCAGACGTTCTTGCGCAGGCAATCCATCTGCTGCCCGCCGCCTCGGCTGATCACATACCTAGCTTTCGTTGTCCGAGATGGTTTCGGGGTTGCTCAGGAGGGAAAAACACAGACACGCATGATCCTCGATTTCCATGGCAATCTGGAAAATATTGGAAGTGGAGGGAAAGAGGAACGTCCAGGACGTGTGGAACATGAATTCGCGTTTTTTTATTTGTGTGTCCCTGGGCCCCTTCAGTTGCGTTCTGGCTCTCGTGTGCTGACTCGCTTCTGCAAGTCGGCGGTGGCGAAAGTGGCCCCGATCGAAGGGGGGAGCGCCGCGCGCCGCACTTCCTGGCCTGCCGTCGTTTGTGCAAGCAGACGACGCTTCAGTCGGCGCCCCACCACTCCTCTCCTCTCCTCTCCGCTCCTCTTCCCGCCCCTCCTCTCCCTCCTGTCTGGCCAACGTGGGGATGGACACGGCTGTACGGACTGCTCGGGGAGCGGGCGCCTCGTTGACCGCCGCAGGTGACGCCAACTCGAGCATTGTGGGCTCCCTGTTTGTCTTACTCAATGCGTGCTGTATCTCGGTCACAAGCACCGTGGTGGGGGTGCAGTGGGTCCAGGCTCGGGGGGACGTCAACTGACCACCTCACCGATAATGGGAGAGCCGATCCTGGGCCCGCCTCCCTGGCCAAGCCAGGAGGCGGCATGCACCGATCCTGGGCCCATGATGGGCTCAGTCAGGGTCGGTCAGGTGGTCAGTTTACGTCCCGCGACAGGGCGTGTTGCAGGGTGCAGTTTGGGACGAGTGATGGGAGGGACAAGGATGCACCGGGGAGAATGATGGAAAGGTTGGGGTACATGCATACAGCGCGTATGGCCGGACGGTGCTCTGACTCGCCTGTATCTTCGTTCACAGCCGAGGCAATCGTATTCGAGGACTCTTCGCTACATGATTCTTTGCATTCTTGTCGCTATCATGCTGGTGCATGTGCGTTTTACACATTCTGAAAGAAAAGAGATTATCGGGAAGGAGGTATAGCAGGGAGGGAGGGGGGAATGGGGGTACCTTGCTCCGTCCCATCCCCCCTTCTCGCTGCCTTTCTGTTTATCCCTCCTCCCTCCTCCCGCCCCCCTCCCTCCCCCTCCATCCTCCCTCCATCCTGCCTCCCTCCTCGCTCCCTTACTAACACCCTCGCTCCCCTCTCCCCCGTTGTGCTCGCCAGAAGCCTTCGCAAACTTCCCAAACGATTTTTTTGTTCGAAGGACTGCAAAGCCTCGGAACCAGTCGAGAACCATCGAAAGTCTCCGAATACCTTTTGAAATCTTTGAAACCCTTTTGGGAAGGGGAAGAGGAAACAGGCTAGACTGACGAGGTGACGCTGGTGAGGAGAAGGAGGAACCGATGGAGGAAGAGAACGAGGAGCAGGGGGCATGAAGGCGAGGATTATGAGAAAAAGGAGGGACATGAAACCTGTGGCCACGAGAACGGATACGATGACGACGGGGACGACGACGGTGGCGAGCGAGACGAACGCTAGCAGCGTTGACAGTGTCCGCAGTAGGATAAAGACTAGAGGAGTATGATGATAATGGTGATGATGATGACGATGATGACGATGCTGATGATGATGATGATGATGATGATGGTGATGATGATGATGATGATGATGATGATGATGATGATGATGATGATGATGATGATGATGATGATGATGACGATTATGATGATGAGGATGATGATGAGGAGAGGACGAGGATGGAGAGACAGAGGAGATGTGGGATTAGCAGCAGTTGCAGCGTTGGGGGCACTGTCGCGACCAGCAGCATGAGCAAACGCTTGATCAGAACCGCGATCGTAATACTGGGGACGAGCAAGGGGAATACTGCATAGGGTCATGATGAGGACGCAAGACGTGATGGGGGTGGTGATGGCGCTGGTGTTTCTGGCGATGACGGGCAGGAGCAGGAGACGGATCTTGTTCAGGATCTGAATCATTAGTGAGAAGGATGTCAGCCATCGTAAACCCCAGGCAGTGGTTTCCAGCATACTAGGTGATACAATCTACTTGATGCAACGTATGGGGTGTGAGCTCTGTAGTGCATTCCATGTGGTGCAATCCAGGCGGTACGATCTATGTGGTGTAAGCAATGTAGTGAGATCCAAACGGTGCAATCTGTGCAGTGCAATATATGTGGTGTGAGCTATGTGGAGCCAACGTACTCATCTAGGTGGTGTTGGCAATGTGGTGTAAACTCTGTCTTGATCTACATGGCGCGATCTATGAGATTTGAGCTATATAGTGCAGTCCATGCGGTGCAATTCATGTGATGCGATCTATGTGGTGTAACCTGTGTGGCGCAATCTCAGTGGTGCAAGCTATGTGGTGCAATCTATGTGGTGTGAGCTATGTGGTGCAATGCAAAGCAGTGCAAGGCAATGCAGAACAATGCAAAGCAATGCAAAGCAATGCAAAGCAGTGCAAAGCAATGCAAAACAATGCAGAGCAATGTACAGCGCTGCAATGCGATTGCAATGCAATACAATGCGGTTGCAATGCGATTGCAATACTATGCGATTGCACAGCGATTGCAATGCAATGCGATTACAGTGTAATGCAATGCGATTGCAGTGCAAGGCAGTGCGATTGCAGAGCACTGCAGCGTCGAGGCGGCGGCGACAACAAAGCGGCGGCCCCGGCACGGGAGTCCAGGCGACGGGCGGCGACGAGGCGGCGACCAGGCGGCGACGGTGACAACAAGGCGGCGGACCCGGCAATGGAGCCTGGACGACGGGCGGCGACAAAGCGGCGACGAGGAGGCGACGGCGACAAGAAGGCGGCGGACCGGGTAGCCAGGCCCAGACGACGGGCGGCGACGAGGCTGCGACGGGGCGGCGACGGCGACAACAAGGCGGCAGACCCGGCAACCAGGCCCAGTTCTTTAGACAAGAAGTAAGAGCTCCAAAGTGCAAGCCTTGTTTGCGGAATAGCGATGGGGAGGAAGATCCGCGTCATGAGCATGAGGGATGAGGAGTATGAGGGGGATGGGTACTGGAGGACGATGATAATTTTGATTTGGCGGTGATGGGCAAGAACGCGATAATAGTAACCGCTAACCCGTGAGAATAAACACTAGGGGATAATAAAGTTCGGGGTTCAGGGGGAGATAATCAAAGTAGCCCAACAGACCTCAGCATAATCTCGAAATAAGAGATGATCAAGAGGAGACCAAGCTGAGACCAATGGCTTATCTCGCTGGAGACATCCTCGACAAATCCCTTGTTTCGCTTGAGACATCCAAAAACTATTGCTTATTTCGCTTGAGACACCGTCAAACTATTGCTTATTTCGCTTAAGAAACGTTTCGTTTCGCTTGAGACATCCTTCAGTATATGCTTGTTTCGCTTGAGACATCCTCGAGTATATGCTTGTTTCGCTTGAGACATCCTCGGAATAGCTCATCCGCCTCAGTGTCCCTGGATAATCAACCGCGGCGATAATAAAGTTCAGGCGGGCGGAGGAATGGAGAAAGCGATATACAAAAACAAAATAAAAAGAAACAATCAGAAATGAAAAATAAAAAGGAAAAAACATCAAAAAGAAAAGAAAATCAGAGGAGGAGGAGAAAGAGAAGGAAAAATCTCAAGTTCAAATGTATTAGATTTTATTTACAAGCGCTTTATGAACATTAAAATTTTCAAGTGCTCGTGTAGGGTATCTCATGTGCTTCATTTTCCATGGATAATCAACCCCAGGGATAAAAAAAAGTTCAGAGGGGGGGGGGCATGGAGAGAGAGAGAGAGAGAGAGAGAGAGAAAGAGAGAGAGAGAGAGAGAAAGAGAGATACATCATAAAGAAAAAGAAATGAAGGACTTAAAGAGAGAAGATATATTTAAAAAGAAAAGTATAATAATACATGAAAAGGATAAAGAGAAGAGGAAAGGAGGATAAAACAAACAATCTGAAGATTCAAATGTATTACATTTTATTTACAAGCGCTTTATGAACATTAAAATTTTTAAGTGCTCGTCTAGGGTAGCTCACGTGCCTCGTTTTCCTTGGATAATCAACCCCAGCGATAAACAAGTTCAGGGCGCCAGGGGGAGGAGGAGGAGAACGAGATAGAGAGACAGAGAGAGAGAGAGAGACAGAGAGGCCAGGAAGGAGAAAGAGATAGAGAGACAGAGAGAGAGAGAGAGAGAGAGAGAGAAAGAGAGACAGAGAAAGAAAGAAAGAGAGACAGAAAGAACTACAAAGAGACAGAAGGACATTGGTTTCGCTTGAGACATCCTGAAACAACGTGTTCGCTTCGCTTGATGTTGTTATCTCAACATAAGAAGGAAGTAACTTCGATGGCGAACTTTTCCCGTGATAATGAAGTTCGGCCTCCGCGCCCCCGCGCCCCCGACCAAACTCTTATTGGTCGACGATAAACAACTCTAACGACTTAAGGGGGGGGGTACTTTATTCTCATCGGCATGCGGTTACATGATAGCAGCAAGATCAGGATGAAGGGATAAAGATGACGAGGATGGCAATGATAATGATTATGATGATGCTGATGATGATGCTGATGATGATGACGACGGCGACAAATATGGTGATGATGATGAAGATGATGATGCTGATGATGATGATGACGATGATGATGATGATGATGCTGATACTGATGGTGCTGGTGATTATGATGATTAGGATTCTGACGCTGATGATGCTGATGATTGTAATGATGGATATGATGATGTTGATGATGATGATGATTATGATGCCGATGATGATGAATGCGACGATGACGATGCTGATGACGATGATGGCGCTGCTGCTGCTGATGCTGATGATGCTGATGATGCTGACGATGGTTCGGATGATGATAATCATGATGGTGATGCTGATAATGATGATGATGCTGACGATGATGATGATGATGATGATGATGATGATGACGACGATGCTGATGATGCTGCTGAGGGTGATGATTATGATGATGATGATGATGCTGATGATGATGATGATGATGATGATGATGATGATGATGATGCTGGTGATGATGATGTTGCCGATACTGATGTTGCTGATGATGATGATGCTGACGCTGATGATGGTGGCGATGATGATGATGCTGCTGCTGCTGATGATGATGATGATGATGATGATGATGATGATTCTGATTTTGGTGTTGCTGTTGATGTTGCTGCTGATGATGCTGCTGCTGCTGCCGCTCGCTGCTGCTGCTGATAATGATTATGATTCTGATTATTCAGGATCTGGCGACTCACGGTAACATGATTCTACTTGTGAGCGACGACGAAGATGACGACGTCGATGACGATGACGACGACGACGGCGATGACGACTGTGACGACGATGAGGATGACGATGATGATGACGAGGATGATGTGATGATGATGTTGATGCTGCTGCGGATTATGATGATTATTGAGAGGTTGATGATGGTGGTGTGAGTGATGAGGTCGAGGATGAGAAAAGGAGGTGGTGGTGAAGGAGGAGGAGGAGGAGCAGAAGCAGGAGCAGGAGCAGGAGCAGGAGCAGGAGCAGGAGCAGGAGTTGGAGGAGGAGGAGGAGGAGGAGGAGGAGGAGGAGGAGGAGGCACCAAGCGCACAACAACAAAAAAAGGTGCTGCAGGTGTAGCAGGAAAAGGAGAAGGAACACGAGGCCGACAGGAGCCTGAGGACCAGGTCTCCCAGCAGCGGCAGCCGCATCTGTACCAGGCCGATGACCAGCATCTCTTGCAGTGAGCCCATGGTGTGGGCAGCGCTGCGACCGAACGGCATTTCATGGTGCTCGTGCGCGCGGCTTGTGCCGCCAGTCTTGGAGGCCCCCGACCCGGGGTTGTGCGATGGGGATGGGCTTCTATGGAGGGCGCGCAGGGACTTCTGAGAAGACAGGAGCCATCTCAGAAGACCCCGAGGCTAGGCCCTTCTGAGAAGACTGCCCCGGCCTTCTAAGACGCTCTCCCGCCTTCTTAGAAGGGCCCCCCCCTCGCGCCACCCCCTTGCGGGCGCCGCCAACCAGTCGATGACGGAGATCACTATTCTCCAAACCACCCCAACCCAACCCCAGCCCTCCATTCCCAGTGTGGCGTGCGTCGGGGAACATTGGAAAACACGTATGGAACCTGTACCTCCCCCAACCCGAAATTTGGGTCTTGGGGTGGTCCGGTAGGTAGTCAGGAGAGGACCAGTCCCCGCGCTCTTCCGAGCTGCCTGCCGCTGCCGCCTCGCCGCGGCGGCGGCGCGGGCGCGGGCGTTCTAAGATCGAGGGCGCCCGACGGCCTTCGGGGGCCGTCCTGGCGACAACGAGCACGAGGACGATGAGGAGGAGGAGGAGGAGGAGGAGGACGACGACGACGAGGCGTTCAGGGCCGACTGTCGGGGCTCAGTGAAGCAACACAGCACAACCGCGGCGACCTTGGAACGGCACGCAGCGAGCTCGTAGCCAGCAGGAGGAGCGACAGGGGTGCTGTGCATACAACACGTTTGTACCCGCCGATCACGGGTCCACGGTTTAACCTGGTCAGTGTTGTGCTTGAGGCAGCTTAGAGATGGGTAGGAGAAGTTCGTCTCGTCGCAGAAGCCGCACCCGCTGCCGCTTTTTTCTTGTTTTGCCTTTCGGTAAGAGGAAGCCAGAGGAGGAAGGGGGGTACGTGTTTGAAGCTTTGGCGAGAGCGTGCGCGTTCCTGGCGATCTGGGCGAGCGGGATGGCTCCGCATCTTCGCGGGCAGTCGTGAGATCGGTTTTGAGCATCCCAGGGGAGGTGTAATAGGGGGAACACGATATTGCGAGGAGGATGGGGAGGGTGAGGATGCTGAGAGGCGGGCGACGGGAGGAGGAGGAGGAGAAGGAGGAGGACAACGGGTCAATCTGCATGAAAGCCACTTGAGGTAAGCCAGGAACAGTCATGCTGAAGGTGCGCTGAAACGAAAACTAAACCTGAAGTCGAAGCTGCACGTGAAGCCTTTTCGCCCTTCTCCGCCTCCCCCTTTTTTGCAAAGGGCTCTCGTTGTCGCGTGAGGCAGCAGTCCCCGTTGGGCCTGTGCCTGCTGCGGAACGCCCTGGCCGTGCCCTTCATCGGCCTAATTCTCCTGGCGGGGGGCTGGGAGTTGCAAGTTGCCAACCGCCGCCAGGGTGGCGAGATACATACCGAATGCCAGCGGCGACTGGTGGAGGACAGGGTGCATGGCCGATAGGTCAGCATAGAAAGAGCGACACACATATACATAGAGAGAGAGAAACATAACTTTACGAGAGAACGAGAGAGAGAGAGAGCAAGAGGGATACACCTATACACAACTATATATGTATATACATATATATATATATATACATAGTTGTGTGTATATATATATATATAGAGAAATATAGACAAACAAGCGAGAGAGAGAGAGAGAGAGAGGTACAGAGAGAGAGAGAGAGAAAGTGAGAAAGAGACAGAGAGAAAGAGAACCACCGAGGGATCCATACACAGAGAGAGAGAGAGAGAGAAATGATAGAGAGAGAGAGGAGACAGAGAGAGAGAAGAGATAGAGAGAGAGAGAGAGAGAGACACAGCCTGGCCCGCCGGGCCCCCAATCAAGCCAGCTTTGTCTTCCAGGAATATAGAGGTCCATGGTATTCGTACAGCTATAAACACACATCACGTACGCACACGCACACGCTTGTATATACACATTCATAATGGCATCCATATGCACATGTAGACATACATACATGCACACATGCATGCATGCATGCACGCATGCATGCATACATTCCTACCTACCTTCCAGACCTACATACAAGCATGCATACATACAACCATACATGCGTACACACATACACACATACATGCATGCATACATACACATACATACACACATCATGCACACATACATGCATTCATACAACCATACATGCACACACGCACATACCTACACATACATACATATACACATGCATACATGCATGCATGCATTCTCACCTACATACATGCATACACACAACCACACACATACATGCATACACATATACTCATACATACATACCTACATATGTACGTACACACTTCCATACATGCATAGACATATGCGTCCGCCCATCCATCCATCTATCCATACATACATACACACATACATACATATGCATACATGCATTTATGCATGCATACATACACGCATACATACATGTATAAACACATACTCACATGCATGCATGCATCCATACATACACACAACTACACCCACATACATACATGCATACACAACTGCCTCCATACATACATCCATACATACGTACGTACGTACACACATACATACATGCATGCACACATACATACAGCCGTACGTGCATGCATACTTAGACACGTATACACATACACACATACACATACTTACACACACTCTCTACTTTCATACGTACATACACATGCACATACACATATACACAAACACCTACACATATACATTCACAGACACTTACACATTCACATTCACCTACACATGCACATACGCGTACACAAACACCCATACATATATGCATACATACATACATACACACATACGTACACACATCCACACATGCTCGCATGCATGTATCCATGCATACATACATATATGCATACATATACCTGCCAACTCAAACACATTCATTCGTACACGCGTACATGTACATACACACATCGTCATAATCATACACATACACATTCACATACAACTATACACATACACATACACATACACATACACATACACATACACACATACATATACATACACAAACACATACACATACACACATACATATACACACACATACACATAGACGTACACATACACATACACATACACATACGCACAAACATACACACATACACATACACACATACACACATACACACATACACATACACACATACACACATACACACATGCACATACACATACACATACACATACACATACACCTACACCTACACCTACACCTACACCTACACATACTTTTTGCGTCGGCGGCTAGGCAGAGGGACTGCTCTGGCGATGTAGCATTCGTGGGACACACTAAATGCGAATGAAACCGCGGTGCACGGTGGAGGAGAGGAGGCCTGGCGCGGGCGGGAAGAGAAGGAAGCCGGGCCCGCTCAGAGCAAGGCCAGGCGGCGGCGGGGTGGGTGACGGGGCCGGGGACCAGCCGCGGCGGCGGGGCAGCAGCTGGGGTAAGGCAGCCAGAAGGCTGCCGGGCACGCGCCGAATGGGGGAGACAGCAGGTCCAGCGCGAGCTGGAGCCAGAAACAGTACAGCGAGGCGGACCGTGGTGCCGAGATCCGAGTGACCTCCAGGCAACCAAGAGCAGACAGCCAGAGCAGACCACCTCAGGTGAGGGGTCGGGGGAACTGGGGAAGTAGTCCCAGCAGACAGGCGATAGAGGCGTGGGCCAGCCGAGGTGACGAGATCAGGATGACCTGCGAGGCGACCTGGGGGGGACGGCCACGCCGGACCATCCAATGCGGGGGGTCCAGAGGACACGACAGCACAGCCGGGAGTGGAGGTGACATACACATAAGCCTGCACATACACACATACACATACACGTACACAGACATATACACCTACACCTACACCTACACCTACACCTGCACCTACACCTACATGTACACTTACACGTAAACCTACACCTACACCTGCACCTACACCTGCACCTACACCTACACCTACACCTACACCTACACCTACACCTACACCTACACCTGCACCTGCACCTACACCTACACCTACACCTACACCTACACCTACACCTACACCTACACCTACACCTACACCTACACCTACACCTACACCTACACCTACACCTACACCTACACCTACACCGACACCTGCACCTACACCTACACCTACATACCTGCATACCTGCATATCTACACGCCTACATACATTCACACACTCATATGTATATATATATATATATATAGATATATACATATGTGCAGTTATGTATATGTAAATAGTTACGTTGCACATACATATGTGTATGTATGTGTGTGTATATATATACACACAGTGGGACACCGACCTCCGCCCCCTCTCGGTGTCCTGGGTCCCCTCGGTGCACCGAGGGGGGGTGGTCGATGTCCCATTCTCGGTCGATCTTGGTGGTGTCATGGGCCCCTCGGTCGCCCTTTTTGGGCCCCTCCTGTTTCCTCCTCGTCCTCCTCCTCCTCCTCCTCCTCCCTCCGTGCCGTCGCGGCCGCGGCAATTGACGGTGCAGACGCCAAGCCGCTATTCGGCCACAGAGCTGCGGCCCCATGCCGGAAAAGCCACAAACCGTGCTTCTGGGTGTATTGGCCCATCCCATAGTTTTGGGCGTGCAGGCCATCCGCTGTCACGCAGCGGAGGGGTGCTGGTGAAGTTCGGGGATTACGGCACGGCCATCTGTGTGCTGATCCTGGTACCGCTTCAGCACGTGTCTGTCGAGCTCTTCGAAAAGTTGATTTTCGTCGGCTGGACTGGCGACGAGGTGCGCGCTCTCATCATCAGCGACCAGCTCGCTTACGACCTCGTCGGTCTTGGTGGGGGCTACTTCCATGCTCGTGAGCTCGAGGCTTGGGGTGCGCAGCGTTCTCAGGCCCCCTTTGCGGCCTCCACTGCCCCTGGGTGTTGGTCACTCGCAGAAGGAGCTGGAGGATATGGTCATGGGTCTAGAGGCGTCGCCGTCGGCAATGAATTCACCTACGGCCCCTGCGCCGCCCAACCTGAGCATGCTGACGATGAACCAGTTGGACAATCGGGACGTCAAGCGGATCAAGCAGAATAATAACAATATGAAGTGTGCTAAGCAGTGGCAGAGGAAGAGCATGAGAGGGAGGAAGTTCTCCAAGAGCCGCGGGTACCTGAGCGTGACGACCGAGGAGGTGGAGGTCATAGCCGTTCCGACGCCACCGCCTCCAGGGATCTTCCCGCAGACGGACCCGTACAGCAAGGTGGTGAAACTGATCGTCCATCTTGGAACGACACCTGCGACATGAAGTACGCTGAGTTTGCCGAGGCCGCCTCCTCCGCCAGCGTCGCCGAGGGCTACGAGATTTCCTCGACTGCCGCCGCCTCTTCCCAGGGCGGCAAGGTAAGTGAAACCCAGGAGGAGCTGAAGGAAATGCGGAGGCTCACGAGGCTTCGCAAGCAGCAGAAGGTGAAGGAGACGCAGGAGATCGCTACGTTGGTGCGGGACTTGATGGCGTTGGCATCGGCTGACGAGTGCGAGGCCGTTTATGAAGATGATTTTCGGCATGAAGGCGCTGGTGCTGATGAGTCGGATGGAAGAGTCCCTGTCGAATGCGCTGGTACAGTTCATGCGCATGCGTGTCCGCGTGCACTTCCAGGTGTTCCTGGTGGGTCTGCGGGCGGTGAGCCCGAATTGGTTCCTGAAGGCGCTGGAGCTTACAACGATGGCTGGGACTGCAAGGCGCAGCGCGACAAGGACATGCACCGCGGGATGCGGCTCGTTTTTGAGGACCAGGCCCAGAATGCTGAGAAGTTGATGGTCGACTTTGAGAATGGCATGATCACCCAGACCGCTTTCGATGAGCGGCTGAAGGAGCCTTTGAAGGTCACGAGGACATCGTGAGTGGCCAGCTCAAGCCGGCTTGGTCTACTGCTGCGGGTTTGTCACGTGGGTGTTCGGCCCTATAAGGGCATCCTCCCTCCCTCAGCCTTGCTGCCCTGCCCTCCCCCGAGAGTCTGGGCGGTGGCGTATCGGAAGAAGAAGAAGAAGAAGAAGAAGAAGAAGAAGTTCTCTCCTCGCTTCTCCTCTCCCGCCGCTGCGGCCGCCTCCGCCGCGTCTCCACCATCTGCAATCATGATAGTTCGTTTGATGCGCTCCGTCTGGAGCTGCGCTCGTGGGAGACTTTCGAGTGCCCAGGCATGGCCGCTCTCCCCCCCTCCCTCCTGGCTCCTCTTCTCTCCTCTTCCTCCGCCCTCCCCACCTGTCTCATGCTGCGTTGGATGTTGGCCGCCGCGGCCGCTTGGGCCACGCGGCATTTCGCGCATCGCGTGCCCATGGAGGGAGGTTGATGCGCTTGATGTGGGATTCGTATCGTGAGGCTGGTGTCTTATCTCCGTGTCTTCTCCCCCTCTCCTCGCCCCCCCGTTTCTTCTTCTTTCTCGCGCGTGCGGTGTTTTGTTGCGCGCCCGCTTCTTCTCTCAGGCCGCGGTTCACTCCGTGACTTTGCCCATTGCTGGCCGTCTCGCGCGGAGTTCCCAGTTTCCTCGGCGACCCTTAGATTCGCAATTAGACAACGGCCCCAGGGAATCGAGATCACGTGATCGCGCGCTTGTCCCCCGCTTCCTCTAATATACATGTGCATGTATACATATATACATATGCGTGCATATATGTATGTTTGTATGGATGTATGCATGTATGTGTGCACGTACGTCGGTATGTATGGTTTTGTTTATGTAGGTGGGTACATCGGTCGGTTTGTAGGTGGCTATATCGGTAGGTAGGTATGTGCGTGCATGTATGTATGTGTGTATGCATGCATGTATGTGCGGATGCATGTAACTACTATATGTATGTGTGCACATGTACAGGCGCAGAACCGGGAGGGAAGGAGGGAGAAATGCATATGCATAATAATGCATGTATGTGTTGTCTTCGTACACGTGTGTGCAGTCCTGTGTGTCCACACCAAGGAAACGCACATTGTTCATCTCATAATGTGTTTGCCGTCTCCTTTCAATTATTCTTCGCTTTCTTCTGTGTATTGCAATCATCTTCCTTCCTTGCCTCTTCCGCTGGACTGCGACTGAACTCGATCCTCGCGCGCGTATTTTTCTGTTGCGGCCTTGTGCATGTCGTGCGCGGTAAGATGAATTCGTAAATCAGCGACAATAACATTGGTATGTTTGATTGTTTCATGGCGGGAAGCGGGTGGCAAGTCATGCGCGCGTAAACGGTTGATCGTGCTCGAACGGAAACCCATTGAACATGCAATCGAAGGGTGTTGTTTGGCAATGTATTTTGGGCTCCTGCGCTTCTCCTTTTTTGTTAAGTCGCCCGTGCATTTCTGAATCGTTGTTTGTGTGTGCGCGCGCGTGGCGTGGTTGCTTTCGTTGCCCCTCTGGCTCAGGGCCGTTTGGGCTCGAGCGCGCCCCTGGCCAGGTGCAGTGCTTTGGCCCTGGCGTGATGGAGACCGCGGCGGCGCGGCGACGACGGCAGGCCCGTGCCGCTGCCGGTTGCCGCTTGGTTGCCGCCGCCCCCTGCGCCCCGGCCGTCGCGGGCCCGCCGGGGCTCTGGCGCCGCTGGCGCGGCTGGCGCTGCTGGCGCGACAGGCGCCGCCGTTCTCGGCGGCGCGCTTGCTGCTGCGAGCGCTTCCGGCGCTGCTAGCGTCGCCGCCTCGACCTTCGCTGCCGACGCCCCCTGGGCGGTCGGCGCGGGCTGGGCTGCTCGCCCTCTCGCCCCCGCGGGCGCCCTGGGCGTTGCCGACGCCCCTGGGCATGTCGGCGCGGCCCGAGTGCGCCGTCATGCTGGCGCCGCCGGCGCGGCCGGCGCCCCCGCGGCCGCCCGCCGACGCCCCCGCCTGTTGTCGCGACGATCGCACCTGGTGCTCGCCCTGGAGAACCCTCGTCGCCGCGGCCGGGTAGCTGAACCCAGCGGCGCGGCCGTGAGCAGCAGGACGGACGCCAGCAGCAACATCGGGATCAGGGCGACGGACCCCCGCAGCGCGACCGCGAGCAGCAGGAAACGCCCCAGCAGCATCGCGACGGACCCCGGCACCTCGACCGCGCGCAGAACGACTGGCTCCAGCGTCGTGACCGCGAGCAGCCAGACGGGCTCCAGCATCGCGACCTCGGGCGGCCAGACGGGCGCCGCTAGGCGGACCAAGCTGACCGCGGCGACGCCGAGCCCGACGCGCCTGGGCCCGACGCCCCACTCGACACCGCTGCTGGCGCCCAGACCTGTGCCCCGAAAAGCATATATATAGTTATATATATATATATAGATGTATATATGCATATTTGTATTTGTGTATATATTCATGTGTATACAACTATATGCATGCATATATACATACATATATATAAATATACATATATACATATATACATATATATATATATGTATGTATGTATCTATGTATGTATGTATGTATGTATGCATGTCTGTATGTATGTATGTATGTATGTATGTATGTATGTATATATGTATGTACACGTGCGCCGTGCCATGGCAGCGTCGTTTTGTAGATGCCGATTCGCGCGAGATCAGTGAGGAGGATTGGGGGAAAACTTACGCCTGCATTCGCATCGCTGGAACTCCTGGCGGGCCCCTGCGGTCCTGCGGCGGAGGTGTCAGAGATTTTCTCAGTGGCCCCGCCGCGTATGGCGCCCCGCTTGGTACGGCGCATAATTTTGGTGTTCTTTGCAGGCCGAAAGCTATGCACCGTGCCGCGCTTGGTTTTCATCGACGGCCTCAGAGTCTGTTGCCGAATTCTCTCGTCGACCCATGTGGGTCGAAAAGGTTGGCGCGCGCATCTTCGCAGGGCTCGCAAATACGGGCGCGCCAGCGCAGTCGGCGCTCGACGACGCCAGGGGGCACTTTGAAATTTCGGGGCTCTGTGCGGTGATCAATTATCGCCCGCGTAATTCTCCGACGCTTCCGGCCGCCCCCTGCCCGCCAGTTGGGGCGTTGCGTGGTCTCCGTCCCTGCGGCTCGTCGCGGCAGCTGCTCGTGCCGGCGCCTGTGTCAACGCGGGCCCGCCGCGCGTCGGCCCCCGGCCAGCTCCCAATGCCCCCCGCTGCTTCCCCGCGACGACGGCCGTGGGCGATTCCGGCGCCGCGGGCGCATTCAGGGCCATCCCGCGGGAGGGAACGCCTCGGCCTGCGCGGCGCAATTTCTTGCTGCTCCTCAAGAGCGCGCCTGGGCCGCGGCGCCGGGCGCCCGTGACCAGTGGGACTCGTTCGCTTCGGACTATGGGAAATAAGGGGGGGGCAAGGCGGGGCGGGCGCGTCCCGCGGATGCCCCAGCCCCCGTCCTGCTCAAATTCCTCGGCTCGAAGGGGGCCCTCGTGGCCCGGGCCAGTGGTGCGCTGCGGGCTGGCGGTGGGTCCGGGGCGGCCTGGCGTGGGTTATGCGTTCGCCGTGGCGATGGCGCCCGCGACCCCGGCCGGCGCGATGCCGCCTTCCTCCGCCGCTTCCTTCGCCGGCGTGCGCCAGTGTGAGCCGCCCCGCGACGTGTCTCCCGTTTGGGGCGCGTGTCGCTCATTCCCTGCCTCCTGCACCATTTCGGTGCTTCTCTGCTGCGCCGCGCTGGGCGCGCATTGGGCCGCCCTGCGTTGCTGCCCGGCTCCTGCAACTTTCGGTGCCCCACTCGTTCCAATGCCGCCCCGCGCTGCCTCCTCCCGTTGCGATGCTGCTTCGCCCTGTCGCCCGCGGGCGCCTGGGGCGCTTCGCCCGCCGCCTCCTGCCCCACCTCTTCCAGCTCCCTGGCCACCTGGCGCGCCCGGGCGGTCGCGCCGCAATGCCTCTGTCACTGCCGGCCATCTGGCTGCGTTGCCGCCTCCTTCTGGCAGCCCCGCGCTTCCTCCTCCCGTTGCGTTGTTCCGCCCCGCCGCCTGCGGGCGCCTGGGGCGCTTCGCCCGCCGCCTACTGTCCCGCCTCTTCCGGCCCCCCCCTGGCCACATGGCGCGCCCAAGGCCGCCGCAATGCCCCTGTCACTGCCTGTGCCCGCGATGGTCCTGCTTCAGCACGGCTCAGTGCTGTGCCTACTCCTCGTCGCGCCGCGGTGACTCTGCCGTTCGTGGTGTCCCCTTGCGCCCGCCCGCCAGCTCCAGCTGCTGGCAGCCGCCTTCCCGCCGCCCTTGCCGCTGTGATTCTCCGCGACCGCCCACCGCGCTTTGGCCCTGCGCGCCTGGCTTCTGCTGCTGCCCCCCCCGGCTGCTCGTCGTCGAGCTCTTCGATGTCAGAGCGTCCCTTTTTCCTTTCTGCCGTCACCCCCCCTCTCTTTGCCCGCTGGCCACTTCGCTGGTTAGTGCCCTTGTCCAGCTGCGTGGCATGGTCGATCCCGTTTGGATCCCTGCCCCAGCTTTTGAGGGGCCGGCCGCGCGCGTTGCATGTCCGGTTGGGTGCAGTTTTCCGCCTTGTCGCTATGCGCGAGGCTGCGATCGCCACAAGCTCTGTGTGTGTGTCTCGTGAATGGCTACCGCCTGACGACGTGGTCGGCTTGCGCACCTCGTTTCCTCGTTGGCGCTGCCCCCAGGTGAAACTTTCCCTTAGGTGTCGGCCAGATCGTTCTCGGTTCTTCCCGCCATACACGCCCGGGTTTCTAGGTGCTGCGTGCTTTCGCCTGAGCTGCGACATCAAATGGGACGCCCCCCTGGATTGCAGTTCGATTTCCCCCCGCCATCCATGCCCGGATGGCTATGTGCTGCCCCCCCCGCTGAGCTGGCCCTCGCGCGCCAGTTTAAGTTTCGGGGTCCGTACCTGACTTGCTCCGTGTCGTCGCTGCGCGCGAGGCCCCGACCGCCATGGATGTACATGTCTATGTATAGTGTAGTGGCCTCCGGCCAGTGCCGCCGATCCAGGGCGCTCCGGATGATGATGATGATGATGAT